GATCAAAATTGCTTTAAAACTTTGATTGGATTAAATGAATATTCAATATCTAGAAAATACAAGACAATAGAAAAAAATTTATAAAGAATAGACATTACACCTTTAAAATGTTAACTTCCGGTTTTAAAAAACATTCTTATACACAAATTCCAGCCTATAAATCTCAGTTTACAAAAATATTTACGAGACATCTGCTCACTGCAGATCATCCAAGCCACATCCTTGTTTATTTTGAACATAAGCAGAATTATTAAAATCATTATCAGTCCCATGATCATGTGTGATCGAAAGGTCACTGCGGAGCTCGACACCAGACCAGTGACCTCAGCATATCTGGATTGAAAGCTAGAGAGGTATCCATTTAAGCATAGCGTGTCTTGGGCCCGTTGACATAGTTTTATATACCGTACCTATGAACACTAATGGGTATGTCCTAGTCCTCATAAATACGTTGGACATTATTGTAATTGGGGGTAATATGCTGTCTAAATAGTCCACCACTAGCAGTGGTTTACCTACTTCATGCTGCTGGCGAGTATTGTATTTTGTTGATGTTATAAAGGTTACCATTTTTATTTCCAACCTCCGTTTTGGTTATTCCTCATTCAGTAACCCTTTCTAGGTTACAACACATAGCCAAGCCCATCACATTCCAGATAAGCAAATGTCCTCCAGAAATCTGAGGCCGTCATCCTCCCTGTAGATAAAACGATCTTGGCCTTCTTGGGAGCAGATGAAGACAGGTCTTTCCACTGCATAGATTGTCTCTTTGTCTCTACGTGTTGAACCCAAGGCTCATTTTGAGTTGGATTCAAGGAAACAAGCAGGATCTGCCACAGACAATGTCTGATCTTCTCGTGATGTGATCAGGTGATCATGTGATCATGTGCACTTTGGATCAAGTGTTTGTTTTTTTTTTGGGGGGGGGGTTAAACTTTTCATTCCAAATAAGGCGTAGCGCCACTAGCACACAAGGGGATACAGAAAGTGGGAGCAAGAGTAAAGAGGCGTGAGAGAGGAAAGGATGAAGAGAAGGACGGGGAATAGATCAAGGTATCTGGAGATGTCGATTGACATTACATTTGAATAGTTGGAGATTATAGCTATCAGGGTAGCAAGTAAGAAGAAGAGAGTCCCACAGACGGGATGTGCGAGTCATGAAGCGGAGACGGCTACATTTAACCTTTTCAACAGTGAAAGGGTCGGATTGAGATGTCGACCTAGTGGCACGTTTAAATTCATGCAGTTTGGTAACTAGCGAAAATAGCTCTTCGGAGCAGTTACCGTGAAAGTATTTGTAGAAAAGACATATAGGGAGGCGACGGCACGTTTGTCAGAGCGACTGTAGACGAGATGCCAGATCAGGGCCAACCCCATTGCATATTCGTCTCTGGATTTTGTCGAGGACCCTAAGACGAGCAGCGGTGACTCCAGACCATATATGTCAGCAATATCCCATGCAGGAGCGAATGGTTGATTTATAGATTTGAAGGCTGGACACAGACGAGAAAAACTTTCTGGTACGACACAGAGAACCAACTTTCCTTGCAGTAGATGAAGCTATTGATTCAGTGTAATTATTCCATCTGAAGTCAGCCGACAGTGTAAGACCAAGCAGTCGCAAAGAGTTGCTCTTGTGGAGTTGAGCATAAGACATTCTAATGGGAGGCAGGGAGGGTACTCTGTCGTGGGTAATAGAGAACAGTTTTTGAGGCATTAAAGTTAAGCATCCATTTCCTGCCCCAGTCAACAAGAGCGGTAATCTTCGTCATGCTAAGTTCATTGTGCAGAATATTCTCAACACTCTCATAATGCTAATGGATATTTGATTTATAGTCAATCGTCTGTCATCCATGTGCTGAACACTATCAATGTTTTTCTCAGTGGTGGCAATTGCAGGGCTTCCAGATGTTGAATCATCTTCAAGACTCTCCCTACCTCTCCTAAATTTAGCTGCCCACTTTTGCACTGTTGATAAAGCTGGAGCGACATCCCATAATGTAGCAACCATGCCAGCAACAATGTCCTTGAGACCTAAACTCTTTTTCTGTAGGTACAGGATAACACCAAGATGCCAAAAGTCTTCCCACAAGAGAAAGGACGCTATTATTCGGTTGGTGCAAAAATAATGACGTAATAATGTCGTTTTTTGACGTTACGTCAAAAAACGACATTATTACGTCATTATTTTTGCACCAACCTAATAGTTACTTTTGAAGTCTTTTTTGAACGGTCGGGTGTTAGTTTAACTGGAAATAAACAATTTACTTTCAAAGTAACCAAAAACGTCCATGCCGTTTCTGATTTATTAGAAAAAAAAAAGTATACAACAAATTTGACATACGGTCAGTCCTCAAAGTAATCAGCATCCGGAAACTTTTGTCAACGTGCCTCCAGCTGCGCAGCGCCCTGACGGTAAAAATCTTGCACGCAAAGAAGTCTGGGAGTGCCTGCCCTAAGTCTACCTCATTTGCAAAGGATTTCCCATGTAGGCAATTATCCAGGGAATGGAAGAGGTGGTAATCTGTTGGCGATAAGTCCGGAGAGTAAGATGGATGACACAGTGTCATCAAGCCAGGTTGCCGTATGGTATCCCTGGCAACCCGCATCACATGAGGCCTGGCATTGTTATGGAGGAACAGTACACTCTTGCGATTAAGCAACGCCGGCTTCTTCTGCTTCATTGTCTGTTGAACACGTGCCACAGCCGCGAGTACAGTTCCGTCGTAATAATTTAGTCCTTTCTTTCTTTTCGGGGTTTTTCAGGTAAAAACATGCAATGATAACAGCAAAAATTGCAATATGACGACTGGTAAAAAATGATTGCTGAAGACATTACGTTTATAATACCCAGAAATTTATACACAGATGTCCTCAAAGACACTTGGCACAGTGGATAAAGGCGTTAGTTAGACGTCATAAGACGAGCACCGATAGCTCCAGACCATATATGTCAGCAATATCCAATGCAGGAGAGAATGGTTGATTTATTCTTATGACAGTGACAGGACCCAAAGAGTGTGAGTTCAATACCTGGCTAAAGCAGTGAAGAACTTTCAGAGGGAAATTAACAGAAGATAACTGATAACTGACATCCATTTAACATGGCACGTGGAAAAGTCTACCCCAGTGAGCGAAATAAAGGGTTCAGTTCGACATTCCAACCACCTGAAGAAGGCCGGAGCGTACAACGGCCGAAACGTTGTAATAAATATGGCGACAAAGATGAGGACAATAGTCCAAATAATGTAAATAATGTAAACGTATGCCAATTTTGACATGTTTTAAAAGTGCATGCTGACATGGCAGTCGTTGCAATAACGCTCTGTCCAAGAAGTATCCCCCTATTTATGTCTGAATAAAGGGGGGTGGGAATTACCCGATTCTCTCGCAACCCTCTACTTTTCTGTGGGTTTGCAAAAAGGATCGCAATACCCTAAGGCTCACCCATTTATGGCAATGGTGAGAAGTTGTGCCAGATTTGGAATATCTAGGGACAATTTACATTGGCTTAAATGTGTCAGGATAGCCAAAGACCTTCGCCTTCAGAGCAATAGGGAGGTACTGTTTTTTAGTTGGAATGTCCAGGGACAAGGTATATCTGTTTTTATGCCCTGATTTGTCCTAAAAGGCTAAAAATGTAACAGAAATCCCAAGGTGCATCCGAAGAGCAAAAGCTTAAAGACTGCTATGTAATATCAATCCCCGTCTTTAGTAGTGAACGCTGGACAATTTCCTCGCAGATGAAGAGGAGATTGAGTCAACAGAGATGTGTTTCTGTATAGAAGGATGCTGAGAATGCCACGGACTGAACAGCTGCGTACGAAGAAAGTTTTGAAGAAAATGGAAGCAACATGATGAAAACAAAGATGACGACACTAAATAATGTAAATGATCACAAATCCTCATTCCGGAAATTCAAATAGAAATCTTACATTTATTTACATAGAATTCATTACGCATCATAACGTTAGGTAATACATTGAAAAGCACGTATCTATGCATGTTTTAGTTTAAAAGATTCTCCCTTGCGTGGACACATACATGTATACATCGATGCAAAACGGAACAACTTCGATATACAAATCGACGAAATTTATCATTCGTTTGCTTCTTGGAAAATGTCGGAGCTGATAGCAAGGGACGAATCCACCATTTTTCCAAGCAGGTGCCGCGGACGTAAATATAAAACGTCTGGCAGTGGCCATGGCATCAAGTAGTGCGTCTATTGTGTTCTGATGGCGAGCAAAAAAAAAAAAAGAAAAGGAAAAGAAAGTGATGAAGAGCCAGAGGTTGGGGGGGGGCGATTGGCATAAGTGCCTCTGATTTGTGGAAAGTGATGGTGGAGGTGGAGGTGGATGTGGAGTTGGAGGCTGTGGCGGGTGTGGTTGATAATTATTCTGTGTGGCGGACAGTGGAACTAAGGCTGTTTTGGCGGGAGGGGAAAAAGCTACGAAAGGTTCGGATAAAACCGGACATAGACATCTGCGAGAATCAACCATCGATGAGGGAATTTTTTCTTTCTTTTTTTTTCTTTTTTCTTTTTTTTTTTTTTTGTTTTTGTTTGTTTTTAGAGCCAACAACATCTGTTGGGTAAGAAGGAAGAAAAAAAAAGAGAAAACGTGGAAGAAACGAAGGACTATTGAAAGACAGAAAGAAAGGAGGAAATAAAGAGCGAATAAAAAACGAAAAGAGAACTCAAGAGGAAGAAATTAAAGAGGAAGAAATTCAGCAGAGAAAAGAAAAAATAGGAATGAAAAAAAGAAAAAAAATAGGAAAGACAACTGAAATAATCGAAACGAAAGAAAGAAAGAAAGAAAGAAAGAAAGAAAGAAAGAAAGAAAGAAAGAAAGAAATGTAGGAGCTTAAAGAGACAAGCATATATGGAGAAGGAGGCTAAGAAAGAAAGAAAGAAAGAAAGAAAGAAAGAAAGAAAGAAAGAAAGAAAGAAAGAAAGAAATGTAGGAGCTTAGAGAAACAAGCATATATGGAGAAGGAGG